TAATGTTTTTGAGTTAAAATATCTAGCTAGGGTTTTTCCAAGCAAATATTGATACTGTATATGTGATTGTTTTCAGTTAAATCAGCATTCATATCAGGATGTGTCCCTGAATTGTGGAGTAGGACCTGGCTGTTATGTTGTTTGCAGTCGTCCAATGCTTAAATCTGCATCTATTACTGCCTGTATATGGGCGTAGCTCACAAAATCAGTATGACCTGGAGGATAATGCTGGAAATATTCCACATTTTCGCTCTCCACCCTGCACGAAGTGATGAAAGCCTTGGCAAAGTGACACAATCTTCTCTTCATTCTAGCAGGAAGAGGATACAAGACTCAACAAGAAGTAGAAAAAAAAAACAATTAACTTTAAAGTAATAAAGAGGAGAGACATATTTATCCAAGTGGGTGTGAAGACTGAGGAAGCAGGTTTGATATATCAGAGATGGACGTCCTGTGTGTGAGGGAAAGAGGAAGGGAGAGGAGAGCGTATAGGGAAGGATAGAGGAAAGGAGGGCAAAGGATTGCAGCTGTGCGCTTGAATCAGTGCTTTATTCTGAGTTTGGACACACCAAAAACAGGATATGCTGAGGAGGGGTAGGGAAGAACTGCTGCAATTTAACAGTTTAAAGGTTCAGCTCACACAAATACAAAAAGACATATTTTCTCCCCTCTAGTTAGTAACAAGCTGTGAACAGTTCTTTGGTGGAAACTTATGTCTTTGGTGGAAAGTAGTTCCAGATTAACATTGTTTACTGAATGAAAACAAATAAAATCTCATTCACCTCTATTGTTTTGAGGTGGAAGCATAAATCTCTCAGATACTGCATCAAATCTGTAATAAATAAATGAAACCAAAGCTATCTGCATGACAAGATACCACAAGATAGAGTGAGACAATGAACCCTTTATATAGAAACAGAAAATGTAAAGGAGCCTATTGAGTAAATGTGCTTCACAGCTAAAGGGTTTATCTGTGAAATAATCACTGCTGAAGAGACCTTGAGACAGAGAAGGATGAAGCAGAAAGCAGGAGGAAATTACAAGAAAATAGAGAAGGGGGAAGTCCAGCTATAGAAAAAAAGCTCATAAAAGCTGCACAGCAAATGGAAATAACCTGGGTGAGTACCGTGCTGCTTCGATTGTGCGAGAACGGCTTTTGAATGAGCACACTGATACAGTATGAACGCACCTGCGCCGAGGGAGAGCAGTGGGCAGCGATGGAGATTATGTCACTCCAGCACCCACTGGAGAGGAGGATCCTGGACCAGAGGATGATGGGAGTGCGTCATGTTCACAAATCAAGCCCACCATCTCACACAAACACACACACAGTTTGCCCGACTTGTGTGTACATGAACACAGAAATGTCAAAAACACAGCATGACACACACACACACACACGCTCGCTCAAGAGCGCTCTGTGTCTTGATAACCTAACAGAAAATCACCACGGCAACTGAGCACTAATAGCACTTTGTGCCAGTCTTTCTCTCCAAGTCTCACTGTGTTTGTCTGTTATTTCTAGGCTATCAAGAGTCATGTAAAAGCAACGTTTAACCAGCAAAAACCTGTAATAATCACAATGAAGATGAGTGATTCATAAAGCACTTTTTTAAAAGATAAATGTAAGAGAAAGCATGTTTACACAGCTCAAAATGAAGGTTGTTTACTTATTAAAGGCACACACAAGAATCATTCATAGACTCACAACAGCACATTTTGTTATCTTACTTATTCTAATATAAGTAAGATAACATAAAAGTGGATTTTCTTTAATAAAAAAACACTCACCTGTGGCTGCAGCAGGTGCCCCTGGGCGTACAGAAGGACAGAGAAATGCCTGGAAACTGGAGGCACACAGCTCACTCACCGTCCCCATCACAACAGTTTGTATTCAGGAGTTTGTAACAAAGCGTTCAAGACTAACGGCGTCCTCTCTGCATCTCTTTGCTCTACTCCCCCCCTTAAGTCTGCGTCATGTTCAACTAAAAAGGGAGACTCAATCGGCAGCAGGCTGAAGCTCTGGCCCCTTGAAAAAGCACAGCTTTTAGTGTTTCCCTCCCGACTGCTACCAGACTCTGACAGACTCTCAGAGAGACACTCTCTACTCTCGCTCTCTCTCCTCCCTCCTCGCTCTTGTTCACACACTTGACCTCACTCCTGCATTCAGCTTCACACACTCCACAAAAACCTGTCGCTTTGTAATGTGTATTGGTTTTTTTTAGAGAAGTGATTAAAAAACATTCTTCACATCAAACACAGGACACACATGTAGCGTGTATAGAGACACACACCCACTGCTGTGTCACTTTGTAACAGTTGTTAAAGTATTCTTGGAAGTGATGACAAATGTGTGCACACAACACACAACCTCGTATCCTCCTGTTTCACACCCACACACACACATCAGAGCCCAGTTTAGTTTAGTCAGAGCTGAGTGAACACACATACATACTTTATGATGCATATCAGTGGTGGACGGTATATTAATACCCTTTATGTGAGTGAAAGAATACTACAGTGTATAAATAAAGGTAATGCATTTAAAGTGCATGTAGGTGTCTTGGCACCTTTAACTATTACAGGTGTTTTATTAATATAAAGTAAGTAGTAATATAAAGTCTTCTCTAGGCTGATGGTAAATCCATTGAAAGGGTAATTGGATATATAGATAGACGATAAGCTTTTATTTACATATTGCTAATCTAGTTAGGAAGCTCAAAGTGAAAACTGGCTTTTATTTTAGAGGTAAATCTTGCTTTACTTCGAAAGGTATGAAAAAAAAACTTGTGGAAGCAACTTTTTTGATTGATTGTGACTGATTACGAGGACATATTGGTTCTGCATGCTGCCTCCTCCATTGCCTCTTAAGATAAGATAAGATAAGATAGAAAAAAATTAAGATAAGATGTTCCTTTATTGATCCCCATAGGAGAACAGCACAGGGGAATGTAGGTGCAAAAAGTACAATAAAGAATCACAAAATAATAATATTATAAGATATAATATAAAATATAACACTGAACAGTCTTAATCAGCGGAGGTTGGAGGTACTGGTGCTGTGGTTTGTGGAGGTCTAATGGAGTCTGAACTTTTTTTATGATCTTTGGTTGGACATATTGACCACTCACAGGCAAAGTACTGGTACATTTTTATCTATAAAGCAATATTGGGTAAAACTTAATCTAAAGCATATCTCTGTAACCTCCTCTGTCTCAGCTCTGGAAGTTACCAGCTACAGTCCTCCAAGTGGTTGCTTTTTAATGTTCCCCCGGGGTTGTGACAGATCTGAGGGGGTGCTGGTGGCACTGAAACTGTGTGAGTAAAGTAGTAGTGATGGCAGCTGTATTAATACCAAATGTTACCATTTAAGTCTGTTATAGGCAGAAACACCAGCCCTCCGTTACACATGAAAGGGTTTTCATATCATGCGTATACCAGTAGAACAACTTACTGTGAAAATATGCAGATAATGCTAACAGTTGTCGTTGCAGCCGTTATTTTAGAGCAGCTACTCAACTGTATATAGACCTACAACTATAGCTATTTATATAATGCATCTGCCATAAAGGACCAAAGCTATATTAAAGTGAACACTGTGTCAGGAAGTGTGATATCATTGACCTTTCAGGTTGCCTTTGAGTTTGATTTTGCTCTTTTGTTTCACAATATTCTTCACTATTCTTTCTCCAATTGTTCCTTCACTTGCACTACATTTCCTATCAGAAGCTCCCTCTCTCTGTAGAGCTGACCTCTTTCTGTTGCACCTGACCTCATCCACTAGCTCGCAGCGCTCCTGACAACCTGGAATATCTCGTCTGTTCAACTTTGCCAGCATTTTGTGGCTTTATAAGGTTCAAACTCACAAAATACAGTATATATATGTGCACATCTAGTGCTAGAAACCAGACGTCACAGGTGGCAGGTGGTACTGAAAAACAGAGAAAGAGTAGGTGGTGAGGCAAAAGCGGCCCCAGTGAACTTTTATGTGATTTGCATATAAAATAAAGAAAATAAAGGGAGAGGGAGTCTGTTTCCACAGCATCAGGGCTTCATCAGGCGGCAATGCTGATGAATTGCGCACAAATGGACCTTTCTATATATAGATGATATATGCAGTTTAATTCCTTTTGTCGCACTGCCTGCTGCTTATCATTTAAACCATATGTACGTGTATACAACACAAAATCCAGTTTTGCAAGGATAGAATTTAATAGGAAAAAACAATAAAATGTAGAATATCAAAACTTAAAATAATAAAATAAAGAGGAAGGGGAACAAAAATATGTAAAACCAATGATTACTTCAAATTATAATCTAGAAATTAGCAATTCTAATATCCAGAAGTAGTTGTTTCACAGTTTAGGACCATAAAAACAGAAAGCTTTCACACTTTCACTGGACTTTAGTGATCTGATTGGAACATAAAATTAAAGACAGTATCTGATGTATGAAAGTCATTTAAAGCTTTATAAACAAGTAAAACCAATTCAAATCTGTTGTGTATTTGTACAGCGCCAAATCATA